CAGTCTGGTCATCCCCACTCAAGGATGGTGCACTGTACCAGACCCAGCAGCACAAGCTGGTCAGGTCCAACTCACACCCACCCACACCCACTCATGTATTTATCTAACCTATTTTTAAAACTACACAACGTTTTAGCCTCAATAACTGTACTCGGGAGTTTGTTCCACTCATCCACAACTCTATTACCAAACCAGTGCTTTCCTATATCCTTCCTGAATCTGAATTTTTCCAACTTGAAACCAATGCTGCGAGTCCTGTCTTGGCTGGAAATTTTCAGCACACTATTTACATCCCCTTTATTTATTCCTGTTTTCCATTTATACACCTCGATCATATCCCCCCTAATTCTACGCCTTTCGAGAGAGTGCAAATTCAGGGCCCTCAGTCCATCCTCATAGGGAAGATTTCTGATACATGGGATCATCTTTGTCATCCTCCTTTGTACGCTTTCCAGAGTATTTGTATCCATTCTGTAATACGGTGACCAGAACTGAGCAGCATAGTCTAAATGAGGCATAACCAAGGATATATAGAGTTGAAGAACAACCTGAGGACTTCTATTATTTATACTTCTAGATATGAAACCAAGAATTCTGTTAGCTTTATTGCGAACACTAATGCACTGTTGTCTTGGTTTTAGGTTACTGCTAAAAAGAACTCCTAAATCCTTTTCGCAATCGGTAGTATTAAGATCTACATTATTTAGTTTATATGTGGCATGGTTATTTAACTGTCCAACATTTAGAGCTTTACATTTGTCAATATTAAACTGCATCTGCCACTTCTCCGACCATTGCGTCAGTCTATTCAAATCATCCTGGAGTGCTCTAATGTCCTCATTATAATGAATTGGACGGCCTATTTTGGTGTCATCAGCAAATTTGCTTATGTCGCTATTTATTCCCTCATCTATGTCGTTTATGTAAATTGTGAACAACAACGGGCCCAACACTGACCCCTGAGGAACACCGCTTGTGACGTGCCCCATTCTGATTTCTCCCCATTTATGCAAACTCTCTGCTGTCTATTTGTCAGCCATGCCTCTACCCAGGAAAAAATTTCTCCTCCTATTCCGTGTGCCTTAAGTTTTCTCAATAGCCTCTGGTGTGGAACTCTATTGAAAGCCTTACTGAAGTCCATATACACAATATCATATTCATTACCATGATCTACCTCCTCAAACACCTTAGTGAAAAAAGTTAGTAAATTCGTAAGACAGGAACGCCCCTTTGTAAAACCATGTTGAGAATCATTAATCAATCTGTGCCTGTCAAGATGGCTACGAATTGCTTCGGCAATTATTGATTCCATAAATTTTCCCACTATGGAGGTAAGGCTTATTGGTCTATAGTTCGAAGCCAAGGACCTGCCTTGTAAATAGGTATTACATTTGCCATTTTCCACTTATCAGGCACTATGCCAGTTTGTAGTGACATGTTAAAAAGATTAGCCAAAGGTATGCTAAGTTCCTCTTTACATTCCTTTAACACCCTTGCAAACAGTTCATCAGGACCTGGGGATTTGTTAGGTTTTAGTTTTTCTATTTGTCTGAGGACCATGTCACTAGTTACCGCAATCGTACATAGTTTATTATCATCCTGTTCTACGTAATCTATTATTTCAGGAATATCGCTAGTATTTTCCTGGGTGAAAACTGAGAGGAAGTAGGTATTTAGAATTTCACACATATCCTTATCACTGTCAGTGATCTGACCAGAGTTACTCTTAAGTGGGCCAATCTTGTCCCTAATCTTACTTCTGTATACCTGAAAGAACCCTTTTTGGGTTAGCCTTTGAATCCCTTGCGACCTTTGCCTCCTAATCCCTTTTTGCTTTTCTTATTCCTTTTTTTATTTCTCTCTTTAACTGAATATATTAATTTCTTAACTGCCCATCTCCTCCTTTGATACGCCTATATATGCCTCTCTTTTGATCAATGAGATGTTTTAATCTATTGTTCATCCATTTGGGATCATTTTTGTTAGATCTAATTTCCCTACTCTGGGCAGCTAGAACTATGCTCTGAAAAAGTCATATTGGCAACCAAGATCACCTACCTGACCCATAGTCAGGACATCCCAATTTAGCCCACCCAAGTAATTTTTCAGTCCCATGAAGTCGGCCAAGCGAAAATCTGGGACAGAGATTTGATTGCAGTTATCTGGGTAATTCCATGATATATTGAAACTAAGTGATTTGTGATCACTTTCCCCAAGCTCATCATTAACCTCAAGATTATTAATTAGTGATTCTTTGTTGGCAAGAACCAAGTCAAGCAGATTGTTTCCTCTAATTGGTTCTGTCACAACCTGTTCTAAAAAGCAATCCTGAACCGTATCAAGAAAGTCACTAGACTCAAGATTTCCTGTCATATTGTTCCAATCAATTTGTCTAAAGTTAAAATTTCCCATTATCACAACATTTTCATATCTAGATGCCTTATGAATTTCGTCCCATAACAGCTTATTGCACTCCCTACCAAGGTTTGGGGGCCTATAAATCACACCCAAAATTAATTTGTCACGTCCCTCGAGAAACTGTAGCCAAACAGATTCTGTGTTCGATGTTTCTAATCTTATATCATGTCTAAGACAACAATTTAAATTTTCTCTTGACATACATCGCCACACCACCACCCTTCCTGTTGACCCTATCAGTGTGGAATAGTTTATAACCCTGTATGTTGCATTCAGAAGGCATTTCTCTATCTTTCAGGTTGAACCAGGTCTCTGTTATACCAATAATATCTATATTACCTACACTTGCAAGTAATTTTAGCTCATCTATCTTATTTCTTAGACTCCTACTATTTGTATAGTAAACCTTAAGGGAGCTAGTCACTCGTTGCCCTCTACTATCTCTCTTTGTTTGTTGATCAGTTGATTTGCCATTACTAGCAACTTTATTCTGAATATTGTCTTTTAAACATATCCCTGAGTTATCCCGGTAATAACTGCTGTTTTTAACCCTAATGCTGCAGCCTGATTGTTTCCCACAAACACCCATACCTCTGTAATCTATCAGTTTAAATTCCTAGACAAGTCATCAATTATCCTCTCAATTGAATTGGCTAATGCAACCACTCCATCCCCAGAGAGATGAACTCCATCCCTTGCATACATATCACGTTTGCCAACGAAAAGGTCCCAGTTATCAATGAATGGGATTGCAAGTTCCTTGCAGTACCTGTCTATCCAGCGATTTATACCAATTGCCCTAGACAACCATTCATTGCCCACTTCCTTTCTAGGCAAGATGCTACATATGACTGGGATCCCTCCCTTTGACCTAACTACTTCTATGGCTGACCTGTACTTATCCAGCAGCTCCTCTCTCCTGCCCTTCCCAATGTCATTACCCCCAACACAAGACAGATAATGGGCTTGTTCCCATTACCTGCCATAATATTATCCAACCTGCTGACTATGTCGCCAACACCAGCTCCAGGAAGGCACACTCTCTGTCTGACCTTTCTGTCTCTGTTACAAAATGCACGGTCCATATATCTTACCTGAGAATCGCCTACTATTAAAATATTCTTACCTTGATTAGCAGGGGAATCAGTGGTACCTTCAACCTCACTAACCACTGAAGTACACTCGTCTTGGAGAACAGAGAATCGATTTCGTACCTTCACATCTTCTCTATTAACTCTCCTCATCTTCCTTCTTCCTGAACTGTGAACCTCTTGCCACTTAAAGCGGCTGCCACTATCACTGCTGGCGACCATTCCTACCTTACCAGATAAATCCTTCTCACACTCGCTCCCAAACTCATCTATGCGAAGCTTCAGCTTCCTATTTTCCTCCTGAAGAAGTAGAATCCCCTTCTTCAACACATGAACCTGGGATTCTAAAGCACTACAACAAGCCATGGTATGGTAACAGCCCACGCTAACTCCCAAGAGCTTAGCGGTATGACCGCACTTGACCACTGACCTCAGCAACACCACTCTGAAAAAGGGCGCGTAAAATGCGTACAAGAGCACAGCGCCTTTTACACAGGACTTGCGGGAGAGCAGAAGTTCAGCAGTCACTCAGCAGGAATTCAAATGTCAAACTGCTGTAAAGTTGAATAAAATAATACAGAACTAAAGAGAGAGAGAGAGAGAGAGAGAGAGAGAGAGAGAGAGAGAGAGAGAGAGAGAGAGAGAGAGAGAGAGAGAGAATAGAGAGAAAAGCTCCTTTCTTCCTCTGTCATTTTATGTTCCATCAGTGGACGGAAGATTGAACCAGTAACAACAACAACAACAGCAACAACAACAACAACAACAACAACAACAACAACAACAATAATAATAATAATAATAATAATAATAATAACAATAATAATAATAATAATAATAATAATAAAATGTAAAGAGAAGCACAAACTTCAGTATTTAAGCGCCACTGGCACCATTCTTGTATTTCAGCGCGACTGGCACCATTCTTGTAACAAAGTCAGTCTTCGCTTCAGCAACCCACAACACAACTTAGGCTAAGAGACGGAAACTTAGACCATTATCTCCTCCTAACTTTAATAATGATCCAAAATGGGTCGAAACGTCGCATTTATCCCCTGCCCCCCTTGCTCCTTTTTTTCACCCTCGTTTTATGTGGGTTAGTTAAGAATTGTTCCAGCCATGGTAATGTTCCAGCAACGGTGTTCCAGCCATGGAAGTATTGTATGGAATACTTCCTTGGCTGGAAGTGTTCCAGTAATGCAGTTGTAAATCATATCCTTCAAACCAGAAGACCTGACTTAAATATTCCTGTCTGATCCCACTTCGAGTCCAGTTGAAACCTGCTTGACTCTCTCTGATATTGAGCACCAGCGCTCTCATCGTAGTGCTTTGTGAACCTTTACTCGTATTTCTGAAAGGTTGAAGGGCTGTATTGCCTCTCAGGGAACACTTACCTGTTTCTGAGAAGCTTAGGGACTGTACTGCCTCTTAGGGAACACTTACATGTATTTCTGAGAAGTTGAGGGACTGTACTGCCTCTTAGGGAACACTTACCTGTGTTTCTGAGAGGTTGAGAGACTGCGCTAGTTGCTTCCTCTCAGCGCCCACAACGTACTGGTTCTTCTCAAAAGCTTGCTCCAACTTCAGCAGTTGACTCGGGCTGAACGCCGTCCTGATCCTCTTAGGCTTACGGAACGGCAACAGGAACGTGGGGAAGTCAGGACCTAAGAGCGTAAGAAGTCAGTTAAGATCATTTACGTCTATTCTTTTGAAATATTTTACATTTGCTGACAAAAAAAAAAAGCTTCAAGTCACATGAAAAATTGATATTCGCCAAATTCCGCCAAAACAGCCATTGAAAAAGCGTGGTAAAGTGTTTTTATATTTTTGAATCGCCCCTAACTGTTACATAGTTACATTGATTTCAGTCACACACAATGGACAAATTAATTCATATATCTAAGTGTAAGCTGAATGTACTTTAACTTATATTTTAGGAACTAGAATATTCTTATCTGGTGGTAAACAGGTGGCATGCAGCCTTAAAGACTCTCGTGTTGCACAGAGACTTTAAACTCCATTAACCATCCCATCAATAGGCACACTGTGTAGACTCAACACTACTTAATAACATAGAGAAGTAATCTACATATTCTTCATCAGATTCATTGAAAGTTTAGACACATGTGCGACTTCTGGATATCTTCATTGTAGATGTTTCGCCATCCAGTGGCTTTATCAATACAGATTCTAGGACATAATTAGAAGACAGTAGAACTATATACAAAAGATGAGGTAATCTGTCCCTCAGCCTTGGAGTTAGTGTTCACAGCATCGTGGTGGAGGAGAATCTGGAGCAAAGGCAAGAAGACTGGCGGTTATATAGGTGTCAGTGGATAGGGACGTGTAGTAGACGAGGACATAGTCACTGGTAGGCGGGATTCCCCAGTGGAAGTAGGTCCTACCCAAGAGATGGGTTAGTTGTAGCAGCCGTGAAGAAGGTCTTTTAGATGTCCTCTGAACCAAGATTCCATGATGTTGCAGTGTCTGACAAGTTGTGCAAGAAAGGTATAAAATACCGACAATATGTCCGAGAATCTGTATTGATAAAGCCACTGGATGGCGAAACGTCTACAATAAAGATATCCAGATGTTGCACATGTGTCTTAACTTTCATATTGTCGGTATTTTATACCTTTCTTGCACAGATTCATTGAAGTAAGCCCATAGGTTTGCAACGTTTCGGCATTTTATTTAGGCTAAGTTTCGCTCGATGGGACTTTAATCAAGCGGCTCAGTTCAGGGAAATGTACTTTGTATATTATATCCGAAAGCTTCGTTGTCCTCTAGTATTCTGAGTCTTAGTATACATACACCGTTTATACTCTCATTACCTGAACAAGTGCGGCAAGAGGATCGAGCCTGCACTACTTGTGGCAACACTTGTGACACAACTCGTGACATCCCTTGTAACACCCTTCGTAACACCACTCGTGACAACACTCGTGACACCACTTTTCTCCTAGCTCCTTTAGCTCCCTCACTTTCATTTCACTTTTATCCATTGATGAAAATCTCCATCTACCACTTCTTCTTACAGTGGCTACAACTAAATAATAATTTCAAATGTCTATTGCTCTTCTAAACTAATACACATCCACATGTGTGTGTGTGTGTGTGTGTGTGTGTGTGTGTGTGTGTGTGTGAATCAGAATGTTACTAAAATACGACCTAGAAACACTCACAATTTTCTATTAAACAAACATACCATTCTTGAAAATGATAGTGTTAGCGAAAATAAAACAGATATTAGTTTAAGGTTAAATATTTTAACTTTTTTTTTCTATATTTTATGCGTTATTATATTATCTCTAAGGTTTATCTTGTGCACAAGCCATATTTACCTAATATCACAAAATTTGCAGTTGTTATTCTATGTAGGAATTACAACAGTAATATTTATGATACTAGTGTTCAGTTGTGTGTAGGATATAGGGAGCTGATTTTGCCTAATTTATTTTCTTGAGAGTTGACGACGTGACCGCTGGTGACGACGTGACCGCTGGTGACGACGTGACCGCTGGTGACGACGTGACAGCTGGTGACGACGTGACAGCTGGTGACGACGTGACAGCTGGTGACGACGTGACAGCTGGTGACGACGTGACAGCTGGTGACGACGTGACCGCTGGTGACGACGTGACCGCTGGTGACGACGTGACCGCTGGTGACGACGTGACAGCTGGTGACGACGTGACAGCTGGTGACGAGAAATAATCTGTATTTTAAAATTTCCCTACACTTTACCCTATTGGTTGACCCCACTAAGGGTGCGTGACCTACATACTGGAGCTACGTCTGCGGGGCGTTATTCATTGTTATATGACATAATTTAACTATACTTTTGTATGTGAGTGAATGGGGTTCCTGTGAGTATCGTATATCTACGCCAGTTTCTCGGAACAAAGACTGCCTCTTCTTTTTGTGTCTGTCATATCTCGTCACTGGCTCACTGTGGAAGTGCTTCTGACAGTTATCTGATTCTTCACATCTAAGAGTTCTCATGTGGTTTTTGTATATCTGTACACATCTCTGAGAGTGTACTGGTGTTCTTTTGGGTTTTATCTCTCAAGGACCTTCTGCAGGATCCGTATGTATGTCTAGTGGGTAGTTCAAAGGTATACCTGTCATGATACGTTAACGTTGTGGGCTATATGATGGTCGTTATTACTGTTCTATATTTGCTGTCGGTGGTGATGGTGTCGAAGACTGTTTCACACGTTGTATCTGTTTTGGATAGGATATTTAGGATGTTGTGGTTATTACAACTTGTGATCTTATATATTACATATATATGTTCTCGACAGTGAACACAGTGTATAAAGCATTCATTCAATTACTACAACATGTAAATACACACGATACATTTTTCTTCACTAATAAGCTTTATTAACCTATATATATATTATTTATATATATATATATATATATATATATATATATATATATATATATATATATATATATATATATATATATATATATATATATATATATATATATATATATTACATCAGGGAAAACTTAAAGTTTTCCCTTCATTTTTAGAGAAATTTCAAGAAATACAAAACATAAGACTATCATTTTAGTCTGTTTATCTCACGTTCGTCCAAAAAAAAAAAAAAGAATAAGAACTGCATCCCAGTGAGAACAATTGGTGGAGATAAGACTAGACTGACAGCCCGTCAGTTTCTGTCAGCTGGGTTTAGGGACAGACTACTGTGTGTGTGTGTGTGTGTGTGTGTGTGTGTGTGTGTGTGTGTGTGTGTGTGTGTGTGTGTGTGTGTGTGTGTGTGTGTGTGACTAAAAATTAAGGTCTAAGTCTAACATTGACGTCTAAGTCTAATACTGATGTGTAAATCTAACATTGATATCTAAATCTAACATTGATGTCTAAGAGTAAGAATGATGTATAGCACCAACATTGATGTCTAAATCTAAGTTGATATCTAAGACTTGCACTGATGTCTCAGACGAACACTGATGTCTAAGACTAACACTGATGTCTAAGACTAACACTTATGTCTAAGACTAATATTGATGAGTGAGCCCAACGTTGATGTGTATCCAGCACCTGGGGAAGGGAGCTGGAAGCAGCAGCAGCAGCAGCAGCAGCAGCAGCAGCGTGTTGCTGTCTGCGTGAACATTAGCTAGCCCTCACGATATTGCATGTGTCTTTAGCACGGCTAGTATTGACTATCCTGCCATGCAACCACATCCCCCTCCACCCTGCAACCGCCCCCCATCCTCCCCACCCTACCACCATCGCTACCACCACCACCACCATTACCAGCGCTTGTTTATATTAGCGAACGTCGGAAAGACAACGTTCTCCTTCATGTTTTTCTTTAAATAATTATAATAATAATAATAATAATAATAATAATAATAATAATAATAATAATAATAATTATTATTATTATTATTATTATTATTATTATTATTATTATTATTATTATTAATTATCAGGTGGCTGCCCGATTTTTTCTTCCTCCAGCTCTTAATTTGTTTTTCTTTCCTAACTCGAGAACGCCTCATCCAATCGGTTTCAACTTTTCAATGCTACTTTATGGTAACAGGGACCAGATTCTTGGAACAACTGGCAGGTTCAGGCTCTCCATGACCAGAGTTGTGGACTCAATCTACAGCGTCCTCGATTGGCTGGGGATAACTTCCAAAATCCTCAGTGGTGGCGTTGAAGACGTCCAGAAAAGTCGCTTCTGACTTCGTCGTCGTCGTCGTCGTCGGAGAAAACCTCAGAGGTGTGGGCGCAGATGTGACCATTGGAGGTGTTCGGTAGTGTGAAATTCTTACTCCCGTTGAATGACATTAATTACTCCCTTCAAATGGCATTAATTATATTCTTACTCCCGTTAATTGACATTATTTATATTTCTGTTACTGCTTCTGTCGACTGCGGTATTTAATGACTGGTACAACTTAGTTCCAGGGTGACTTTGATTTGTGTGTCGGGAAACTTTACTCATGTAGTAAAATACTTATAAAAACTTGGAATAGTAGGAATCAGCGCCGTAACTACTGAATGACTCATCGGATCGTCTTCAACTTTCCTAGTACTGGTTTTGTTTCGTGAACAAGACTGACGTTGCCAGTGTCTACCATAAATCCCAGTTTGCCAGTTTTACTGAATAGTGATATTAGTTTTTATTCAATAAATAAAGCTTCTTATGACAGACTATATTATTAATACATTGTGTAAGAGTGACGACAATCCATAAAAAAAATGGAATTGCTGGGCCGACCGGCTTTCAACTTTCACCGTTGGTGAGCTTTATTAAAGCACAGCTCAGCGCTTACTTTGAGTTGTATCAATTTCAATTCAATAAATTTGGAAAATAAATTGTTTCCCCGTGTAATATCTAGAGAATTCCTCGTCCGATCGGCTTCAAACCCTAAAACTGGCGTATCTTAATTTGAGCTGTATTGGGTGGAAATTTTCCAGTTTTAAAACAATTTTACAAAATTCTATTTTCTTAAAAATCAGAATTTTGAATAGAATATAAATGAATTTGAAAGAAATATAAACGATAATAAAAATTTAAATAATATAAGAATCCACATTTTTATGGACGGCAGTAATAATTTACCACAAGTTATGTACACTGATGGATCTAAAAGGCTTGTGGTAACATGCAGTTATATT